ACATTCAAAAGCTACAGGGGCTGCATACTGAACAGACGCCCTCCCACACCAGTTGCTCCTCGCCAGGCCCCTGTTGTGGAGGTGGTCCGCTTGCCCAGTCTCTAGCAGCATCGCAGGCAAGTGCTCATGTCGTCTCCCTCTCACACAAATAGAGCCTGCTGGATGTAATTTGGCATGTTGCCTTTTTCACTTAACAGCATATATTGAAGATAATTCCATCAGTACATGAAGAGCGTCCTCAGCCTTCGTTTCCTTTTTTTCTTTTTAAAGACTGCAGATGGTCTAAACTAGGGGTGGGCAAACTTTTTCTGTAAAGGTCCAGATAGTAAATATTTTAGGCCTTGTAATCCATATGGTCTCTGTCATATATGCTGCTTTTCTTTCTTTCTTTCTTTTTTTTTTTTTAAAGAAAAACATTTAAATATGTAAAAACACTCCTGTCTCATGGGTTGTACGGGCCACATTTGGCCACGGACCATAGTTTGCTGATCCTTGAACCCACAGGCTCTTACCTCACTGCGCCGTATCTAGCCTTCTTCCACGCTGGCCTCCTAACTGTCCTGAAAGAGCTAGCTTCCCATCCTACAAACCGGATGCTGCCACCGTCCCCCTCTCCCAACAGGGGAAGTTCAGACTGCTTGGGGGTGCCTACAATGCCCTTCCCAATCCACACACTTCCCCTTACACCGTCTACTGCACTGGTCTGCGCCACCATCAATCAGCTTAACGCCTGCAGCGACTTCTTTGTTCTACTCTTGTTACAAAACCTCTTGCCCCCAAATCTGATCCCACTCCACAGCCCCAAGGGTCTTTTACCAGCGCAGGTCACATCTGGGAGCCTCCAATGGCTTGTTGCTGCCCTAGAAGGAAGTGAACTTCCTTATCATTGTCTACAAGGTGGGCCACTTCCGCTTGGCCCTCTTGTCCAACCTCATTGCCACGCTCCTCACTCCCTCCACCTGTAAACAGCAGCCACGTTGACTTTTCTGTTCCGCAAATAAGTCAAGCTCATTTCTGCCTCTGTGGGCGCTGTTCCCTTGGCTGGCTCCTTGGAGATCAGCCCCGGTTCAAACACCACCTCCTTGGTGTAGCCTTCCCTCATCTCCCAACCTAAAGGGGCCACTCCGCTGGTCCTCTCTTGCATCATCATGCTCTACTTTCTTCATGGCCTTATGGCCACCAAGAATTGTATCTTGGTTTGTCGTCGCAGTCTCTCGCTCTGCTAGAGCGAAGATGTGAGCATCTCCAGTGCCTAGCACATCCCTGACACTACAAACTTTTTAATTAAACAGCTGAAGAATTTCAGCCCAGTTTACTTTTCCTGGTGGATCTCTCCTCACTCTTCACCTTATAGTTCTGTTGACCTTCTTACCAATTGCTAACCATGAATTACCCTCTTAAAGTTTTACACCTTTGCACATATTTTCCTCTTGATCATCTCCTCCTTCTCTGAGAGACAAACTCCTACTCACCCATCAATATCCAGCTCAAATGTTACCTCTTTTAAGAAGCTTTTACTAGTATACTTTCCTCCCAGAGCATTTTGTACAGACACTGGACCACAATGATTTACCTACCACAAATGTTTACTTATTTACTTATTACACCCTGACTACCCCAAGCATTTTATATATATACTAGTGACCTGGTGCACAGATTCATGCACATAGAAAGGAAATTAATTAGAAGGTGGCCGCCAGGACGGGACTGGACAAGACAGGCCAGACACGCCCTGGAGCCAACCTCCCATGGTCCCTCCCCAGCAGGCTGCACCTGGAGTGGCGCTATGGCTCGAAGGGCGTCTGTGGAATGAGCAGGGTCCCTCGGGCAGGTGGGGTCCCTTGGCCTGGTCTGCGGGGATTGGGCCAAAACCAGCTCTACGACATCCCCCGAGGGGTCCCGGAGTGCGAGAGGGCACTCTGCAAAGTTGCTGTTGTACAGGGTGTGGAACACAAACGCAAGTGTGCAGTAAACCAGATTCGGGGCTGACAGTGCCCCAGCAGCAACATAGCCCACGGCTGAAGGTGGAATCATGTGGCCCTCCCTGAGAGGAATCGGGCTCCCTCCTCTCCGGTTTCAGGGTGCGTCACCCGAGAACTGCCGCTGCCAAGTCACTGCAGCTCGGCAGCTCCTGTTAGGGCATCTGCCCCTGATGGTCAGTACGCTTCATAGCGACTTATATGCTAAGTATGAACATATAATATAAATAGAAGCACTTAGCTCTGTAACTCTCCTAATAACCCTAACGAGGCAGGTATTATTATTATTACCTGTACTTTGCAGATGAGGAAACTAACGTGAGGTTAGGTAACTTGTTTTGGTGGATCTGGAATTCACTCCCAGGTTGCTCAGCAGCCAGCTGGTCCTGGTCGTGGCTCTTTGTCCTTGAGCTCTCAGCATATCAGGAGAAACAGATCTGTCCCGTTTCCCTGTGTGAGACCTGGGGGCTGTAGCTTTGCTCAGAGAGTGATCAGTTGGGATTCTCTCACTTCCCTGTTGCAAGGTGCTCCCTTGTGGGGGGCACAGATGTCCCTCTGCCAGCCAGATGGAGAGGCACAGCGACCAGGCTGCCCTCCACACACCTGTGACTGTGCCGTCACCAAGGGCAACCAGATGTCCTTGGGGCCTTGCTCCTGCTGCCACATGCTGCTTATCCATGTGGACATAAGCCGCTCTGCCAGCTCACCCCTGAGCTAATGCGGAGGGACCACAGGGCTCCGGGCAGGAGGGTGAGAGCCCAGAGGCAGAGGAGACAAGGGCAGAAAGAGCTGCTGCTTCCTTATCCTTTCCTTTAGTTATTGATTTTCCCAGCTTCATGAGGCATCACTGACAAATAAAATCCTATATATTTAACATGTATGATGTGAAGATTTAAGTATATATTGTGAAAAGCACACCAAAGGAAAGAATTACCAAAATGAAAAGGCAACCTATGGAATGGGAGAAAATGTTTGCAAGGCGTATATTTTTAAGGGGTTAATATCCAAAATATATAAGGAACCCCTACATCTCAATAGAAAAAGTTAAAAATAAATCCCGGTTTAAAAATAGACAAAGGACTTAAATAGATATCTTTCCAAAGAAGACATTCAAATGACCAATAGGTATATGACCTATGCTCCACATCTTTACTCTCGTTTATGCGAAGAGGCTTTCCTTGCATTAGCATGTTTCCTAAGTGCAGGCCCCTCTGCCGCAATGCATTCTGGGATGCAGGGGAAGAGCGTCTCCTCTGCCGCAGTGCATCCTGGGATGCAGGGGAAGAGTGTGCTGGGCTGCATCACCGCAGCTGGGCTCCTCCGAGGGCACCATAAGCTTTCCAGCTCACTGGGGAAGTCCTGTCTAGAGAAGTGGGTCTCAGACGTTAGCATAGTGCTGACTCAGTGTGGTCCTTCCACCAGCAACATCAGGATGGCGGGGAGCTCGTTACAACAGCAGATTTGAATTTTAACACCGTCCCCCAGGAAATGCATAAGCATATTAAAGTTTGAGAAACACCCGCCTAGGTGCCTGATTAAAATGTGAGCTTGGGACTCCATGCCTCAGAAATTCCAGATGAGACCCAGAGACCTGACAAGTACCACCTACTTTTCCTTTCTGCCTGCTTTTTTGAGCCACTGCGGTACTGAGGCAGAGCTGCGTGGTGGAAGCAGTGCAGGTGCTATATTTGGACAGTCCTGAGATCAGATCTCAGCTCTGCCACCTACAAGCGAGGTAATCCTGGGTAACTACTTCATCTTGCGAAGCTTTAGCTTTCTCAAACACAAATAACATGGAGACACTAAATGACTTTAGCTTCGGCTGTGGGCTTTATTTATTTTTATTAAAAAAATATTTTTATTGATTTCAGAGAGGAAGGGAGAGATAGAAACATCAATGATGATAGAGAATCACTGATTGGCTGCCTCCTGCACGCCCCCCACTGGGGACCGAGCCCTGAACCCGGGCATATGCCCTTGACCAGATTCGAACCTGGGACCTTTCAAGTCCACAGGCCAACATTCTATCCATTGAGCCAAACTGGCTAGGGTTCAGCTGTGGGCTTTAAAGGTGAGAACACATATAAAGTGCCCAGCACCACATCTGTGGCACAGGGTACAACCACCAGGTCAAACAGCTGTGCCCTGGCTGCACCACTGAATTGGGGCAGACAATACTAATGACTTTCAGCTGCAGGAGCCCAAACAGGGCTCATGGAGGTGTGGTACCTGTGGTGTCTCTGTTAATCCTCACCTTAAAGGCAGAGAAAAGATCAGACCACAGCAGCTATCTAACTTTATCATGCATTATGAACCACCTAGGAAGCAAGTCCAAAAATGCTGCTTCCCAGGGGTCCTGTTTCATCAGGTTCAGGGAATCTCCATTTTGTTGTTGTTATTAACCCTCACCTGAGGATATTTTTTTCCCCATGGATTTTTAGAGAGAGTGGAAGGGAGAGAGGGAGAAGGAGGAGGAGGACGAGGAGGAGGAGGAGGAGGAAGAGGAGGAGGAGGAGGAGGAGAGAGAGAGAGAGAGAGAGAGAGAGAGAGAGAGAGAGAGAGAGAGAGAGAGAGAGAAACATCAATGTGAGAGGCACACATCAATTGCCTCCCACACACAAACCCCAAGCAGGGCTGGGGAATGAACCTGCTACCCAGGTACATGCCCTGGACCAAGAATCAATCCCGCGATCCTTTGGTGTGTGGCTGAAGCTCTAACCACTGGACACACTGGAGGGGGCAGGATCTATATTTTTATGATTTGATGCATGAGTCCTCCAACCTCACCCCGAGAAACCCTGGTTTAGAGAATATGTGTATTTATTCAGTACGTGGAGAGTGTGACGCAGCAGGGTCCTGGGCTGGTGCTGGGAAGTACACACACGAACAAGTCAGACCTGGCCGGGTCCTCCCCGCTGGGAGCTGGGCTCCAGGGAGAAGGTGGGCTCCGTGCTGCTCTACTAGGACATCACACACAAACCAACCCCAGCAGCCCAGAAAGGCCATGACCAGAAGCCGTACCTGGGCCTCCGCAGCTTCAATGCCGTGGGAGAGGCTGCCGTTCTGCACGGGCTCTGAAGCATCACTGGATGGCGTCATTTCAACCTCCGTGCTGGTGCTGTTGGGGAGCTCGATTTTTTCTGTGACATAATGGGGACACACACAAAGAAAGCAGATGGCATCAATGGGGTAAGGGCCATACTGGAAAGAACACCTAAAATACTGGCCAAGGGAGACAGACGATGGATGGTAGTTTCTGAGGGGAGATCAGGCTGGGGTTGCACCAAGCGGCGAAGGTTTGTACCATTCCTCCCTGGGCGTTCTAGCAGACTCAGCCCTCCTGAACCAGGCGAGCTGTGCAGGCACCAGCCAGGTCTGCTGTGCCTTCAGCGGGAGGAGGTTAGGAGCTTCCCAGACCCTCTGGCCGTGCTGGGTAGAGTCTTGGACTTCGGGAGACCATGGAGCCGTGTGGTTCAGTGTCAGGGCCGCCGGGAGCACCAGAATACCCATCGGTATGAGACACGAGAGTGGCAGGCTGCTCACAGAGTATCAAATGCTTGTTTTTCTAGCAACTTCAGAAGAACCAACAATTTCTCTCGCTGGTAAAACATCACATAAAGTAATTGGAGAGTTACACAAAAATTGTTGGATCTGAAGTGGCCAAATTTTGGAAATCATAGGGAAATGTTTGTTCATTTATGTATTTACTTGTGAAATATAGAGGCATAAAATCTTTACATATGGAAACCCATAGAAATTCAAATTTATTTTATCTTCCCATATTTTTAGTAGTGACAGTGACATGCATGTGATGATCTGCTGTGTCTGGCTACGCCAGTTTATCCCAGAAGGTTGGCCCAGTTATTTTTTTTTTATTTATTTTTATTTTTATTTTTGCCCAGTTATTTACTAAACTAAAAAATACTACGTCTGGGGGAAAAGAAAAACTCTGCTTTGGGGAGTCTATTGGCTGAAGTAATACAACTTTAGGATAGGCCTGCAATGGTCAAACTTGACCCTAGCAATGCAGGGTGCTGGGTACCAAAATGGAGTTAAGATGCCCAAGAAAAGACATGAACAGATGAGAAGAAACAACCTCCCAGGCACGATACCTAACCGAGTACGTCTTAGCTAATGCTGTGCTTTTACATGGCAGGCTGGGGTCTCAGCACCAAAGAATGTGTGAAAAAAACTTGGACTCATTTTGAAAAGATTGTGGACATAGATTTTGTAACTTTTTTTTTTTTTTTTAGTTATAAAGTTGTTCAGAGGCCCAGTCTGCACAGGAGCATCCTTGGAGTTATGTGTCCATGAACCCTCATGAAGGGTTCAACCCAAGTCTAAGGTCAGCCAGTCATTAGGAGAAGGACTGGGACTGAACCCAGGCATCTAAGTCTTAGACTGCAAGCTGCCTTATTCCACAAAAATCAACAAGTGGTGCAGAAAAATAGCTTGTGTAACTGAACTTAAATACCAGAAGCAAAACTCAGCCTATGCAGTTAGACTTTTGTGCTGTGGCTTTGCATTTTTAGAATACAAAGGCAAGATATGTTAATTCCAAACAATTAGTCCGAGTTCACAGAAGCATAAACAAGCAGAGAAAAAAAAAGATATAATTCATAATCCAACCCCAAGAAGTAGCTATTATTCATATTTTAGTGTATGTGCTTCCAGCTTTTTTTTTTTTTTCCTTCATACCCAATAGCATCTTGACTATTTCTTGGCCAAAGATTTCCCCTGAGCTGTAAGTAAGGTAACAGGAGAGACAGAAACTCTTCTAAGGAGTCACATGTATTTTGAATGCAACACTGTTGAATTTTGTGTGCAGATAATTTTAGTATCTTGGGCAATAGCATCATTTATAGCATAGATCCAGATTAGGCTAAATTTAGTTTGAATTTAGAATTAGAGAGCTCTATTACAGTTACAGACGGGAGAGGAGGAACATGTTCCAAGTTAAGATAAGATGCCTGAATGTCCTCATCTAGCCACACAGGCGCTCAGAAAAAGTTAGCCAGAAAAGACCTGGGCTAGTAGTATTGCGGACTTCCTGAGAAAGGGGAGGCTGTGGCATCTGGCAGGGACCCTGCCACTCAGTTAGGAGTCACCAAGTAAACCAGCTGGTAATTCGGTGGGTGTGCTGTATGCGACGTCATACGTATAAAATTTGGTTACCAGGCAAGAATTTCAGAAGAGGTGCTCTCTTACTTCTTGTTAAATAGTCAATGATGGGTGTGTGTGTGTGTCCTCTTTATGTGGCATCCCTAAAGTAAAGTGATTTTCTAGTCTTCAAGGGAGATGCCTGGGTTAGGAGCTGGCTTTATTTCAGATTCCTCACAGAATCATTTTCTTCTTCTTGGTGTTCCCCTAGGGCAGGAGACACAGAGTGTCTATCCATGGCCTGTACCCACCAGGGGCACTGGACTTCGTCCAGCACTCGGGACAGGGCTGAGCTGCAGGGGTTTGTGTCGGTGCTGAGTCAGGGGCGCACGGGACCCTGCTCTCCGCTCCCCTCCACGCACTCCAGGAAGGGCCCTGGACCAGGTCTCCCTGCACTCACCCACGTGATTGGCAGCCCCATTCTGCCTCTCGTTCTCATCCACCTGGCACTTCTTCTTGGCAATCTTGTGGAGAATGGAAGCCTTTTCTCTGAACCTCCCTGAAGCAAGAGAAAGTGGTGGGAAGGAAAGAGGATGAGGAGGAAAATGAAGAGAGGCCCGTGGCAAATGGCGAAGCAGTGGCAAAGCAGGCCCGCGGCTTCTTCAGGTCTGCCGCATTGTCACAGCGCCCTCGCCTTCCTGTCCAGTCCCCGAGCCCGTGTCCTGCAGGAAGGGCTCTCTTACCTGTGTGGATTCTTCAGCTCACTTCTCTATTTGAGAATCTCAAGCTGCCAGCCCATAGACGAAAGGCTTCACTTGGATCTCTTCTCTCCCTCCCAATGGCTTACAAAGAACCGATCCTCCCCCAAACCCCCCCTGCTGTGAGATCCAAAAACAACTCCAAAGACACAGAGTGGCTCTGGGGGCACAGCCGCATCTCTGGGGTTAAATGCTCATCCCAGAAATGGCGTTGACCATGGAAAGTCATGCCTAGGGATCCTTTGATTTGAATTTGGTTTTCAGATGTGTATCATAATGACCACTGCAGTATCTGAACAAGTCAGGAGCAAGCATTAGAGCTTTCCAAATCAGCTGCGTCAGCTGCAGTTAAAGCATCAGGGAGGCAACTGATTCCATTTTTTTTGGGGGGGGGGGGTTTGGGGCGAAGAATAACCAACTGAGCACAGCAAGCGATGTCTGTTGATGATGAGATGCATAGAGAAAGGTGCTGGAAAACATACCAGTCTCAAAGTGATCATTTTAAACAGCTGTACCACAAGCATAATGCTTCATTTCTTCTCCATTATTGACATAATTAATGGGTAAGTGCATGCAACAAGCAGAGAAAAAAAGCATGCAAAAGTGTAGAGATTAGTGAACCATAATACGTTTTTCTTTCTTCTCTAATTCTCGATTTCCCTCTGCTGTCCTCCCCACGCCCTGAATATTCAAGGTACAAAGGAACCTTATTTTAAACTGATTATTGCTTTATTCATGACTCTGAAAACACCACAACCTCTCTGGTTTGGTAGTTGGGTTCTTTAGCAGCGTATTAACAGGGGATCTCATTCTTCTTTTCCAGTTATACCAACATCTAACCAAATCCAACCAAAAGTGTTTCTCTTTGCGAGTCTCCCAGGATGGCAGGTTGGCACCCATCCCTCCCCCAACCAGGAGTGGAAATCATGGGGTGTGGTCATAGTGGTGACTGGTGTGATTGGTTGGGAGCAACCGAAGCTGTAAAGGAGAGTGCGATCAGTTGCGTCCAGTGATAAAAGTGACAGAGGACGGAGCCCTTTCTGCTCACACGCTCTACTAGTCACAATCCTAGAGGCCATTGCTACCACAGAGGCAGCCTCTAGGGTGTGAGCACCTTAGTCTCGGCAATGAATGTGCTCCAGAGGAGCATCTCAAAGGAAGGACAGCACTGCGTGGAGAGAGGTCAGCTGTGGCTGGGGCTTCGCGAGGCATGAGGAAGATGGATGAAGTGATGGGCGTGATGTCCCTCCCCGAGGGACGTTGAAGGTTGGCATTAGGTTCACCATGCTGAAAAGTTTTGGGCGTGCAGTTGTTTCTATCTAATCTCCAAGGGAAACTCTGGGAAGAAAAACTGGAAACAAAAGAAAGTCTGAGGACTAGGTAAAGGAGGAGGTAAAAGGGAACAAGAAAGGGAAGAAAAAGGAGAGAAAGATAAAGAATTCAAAGAAGGAGGAGGTAGGCTGGGGGCTGAGACTGTCTGGAGGTTGCCCAGGAAGTGTGGATGCAGGACCCTTTCCTGACTTCAGCCTAAACAGGGTACTTCTTGTAGATGAAACTCCCAAGAAGCCCTCAGGTCATCTACCAAAAAGCCCGGAAGAGAAAACAGAAGCTCTGAAACTTTACAGGAGATGATGCTTCCACTAATAAAACCGTTCTGTGGTCTCAGGGTCCTTCTCTGAAGTTGGAACAGTCAGCAGCGTTATGACATAAAGATGATCAATCACTGCTATTTAAAACTTATATATAAAATAGTAACGAAGCAAGAAAGCATTCAAAAGAGGAAACAAATAAGCCTGTGGAAATAAAACCTGAAATCGTCCAATCCAAGTAACGCCCCAAAGCCATGAATCCTGGCAGAGAGGCGGTCGATAGAAACCAGCTATTTGCCGTATGGCTTGTGGTCACCGGAACCTTCTCAGAGAGAAATGATTATAAAAGAGACCCAAATCATGGAAGGGGTCGGCCACTCTTTGTGCCAGAAAACGTCAGGGCGATGGTCACCGTCACGCATGGGATGGTTTCCCCAGATTTTCTAAAGGAGGTCTGGGAGAATAGGGTAGGAAATGATTGCAGAATTGGGATTTCGTAGGTTCTCAAACATTTTAACAGGTCATCTGGGGCTTTCTAGAGTGTCACCACTTTTCCACACACTCTGGGAGGAGGGGGTGGTGGTGGCACAAAGGGTTAGCCCTCTGAGTGTGCCTGAGGCAAAGCTGCAGAGGCTGGCTCAACCTTTGTCCCCGTGAGCCTCACTGATGGCATTCTGCATTCTGAGTGCTGACAATGGCTGCTCCATAGCCGAGCAGGACTTAACCTTAAAGACCAGTTTCTAAAACAGCAGCAATTGCAGGTCCAGCTTCAGAATGTAGCACCCGGGGTGCTCCTTGAGGATGGGGGGCAGCACCTGACGAAGCGATCACCAGACACCCCTGGGATCACCACAGGGCACCTTTTGAGGAAGTGGTTGATAGGACAAGAGTGAGCAGGGGCAGAAGCCATCACAGGACCTGTGACTCTCAAAGGGACCCTTGGGGTCAGAAGGCACACACCTTTAGGACCTGTTCAGCCTGAAGCCACAGCTGGGGAGGACATTAAGCAGGGGGCACGTGTGTGTGTGTGTGTGTGTGTGTGTGTGTGTATGCGCGCGCGCGCGCGCGCGTGTGTGACGGGGACAGCACAATATTGTGATTGAATGGATGCGACTTGAAAGCAGGTAGACCTGAGTTGAAGCTTCGTCTCTCTTCCTTGCTCTGCTGGCTAAGTTTTGGTGAGTTCCTGAATATTTCTAAGTTTCAGTTTTCCTATGAAATAGGGATTCCGATGGCATGGCTCATGAGTCCAATGCATGGTTTCAGTGAGAACCCGTGGAAGGGGCTTACCACATGCCCGGCATTGAGCACAATCTGGAAGTAAAAGGAAAAAGAAAAAGAAAGCTCAGGGGCAAGGGTGACGTGGCCTAGCATTGCTCCAGGAGGACCCTTGCCATCTTCCCCTTCTCAGTCCACACTTGCAGGATTAGGGAATAAGCCACATCCTGACCTGGCAGGTTAAGCGTCCTGGGGACCCTGTTGGACTGGGGTTCAGGTTTCAGTGCATCCTCCAAAGTCAGCTCCAAAACTGGTTAGGAAAAGGATCCCTTTACATCTTCCTGAAATTGAGAAGGTCAAGGTGATGGAGCTGACCTTCGGTGTTTTAAACACTGACACCTTTGCAATCTTACAAAGGAAAGATGCGATCAGCTTTTCCCCATCCCCTGTGCAGGCAGAGAACAGGCAAGAAACTACTGCGGCCACACAACGGATCAGGGGAAGCTCCAAAGAGCTGAGTGATTTTTACCTCCCAGAGTTTTAACTCCTCTGTTAAAACGCAGGCTCTGAATTTCAAAATGGGGATCATAAGAACACCCATCTCACACAGCTGTTGGAAGGCTCTAATGCGTTAATACACATCATGGGTTTAGATGGCTGCTGACTCAGTAAGTGATCAGGAATTTACTCTGGAAAGCATTATTACTGTGGAAGTGAGTGACAGGACATTCTTCCCATAAGTTACTGAAAATAAAAAAGACTGACATTCAAAACTGAATCGACGCTAAGCAGCCTCGGGCAGGAGACCTAGGTGATAAGGGATTGCTTCAATACAGTATTTTAGGCCCGGATTCCATGTTGGCATAAAGGCTGATGCCCACGCGGAGGCAGAGATGAGAGAGCTAGGAGCAGGTTAGTTTTGTGCCTGGGGATAAAGAATCAAGACCTTTTTAAGTACTTTTCAAAGAGAGTGAAGGAGAGATTTTAAAAACATGTTTTAAGGCAACCTTAAAAAATATACTTTGTTCCAGTGTAAACCCTGAAAGTGTTGTATTGTTAACGGGCAACAGATATTTATACACTTAAAATCTCAAAATAGCAAATTCTGTTTAAATTGTGAGGCACTTCTGTCAAAACTTAGTGGCAATTAAAATTTTTTAAAAAAAACCTGATTTCAGAAATGAAGGGAAAGAGAGATAGAAATATCAATGATGAGAGAGAATCATTGATTGGCTGCCACTGCCACCCCCCCCCCCCCCCCCCCATGGAGCCTACAACCTGGGCACGTGCCCTGACCAGGAACTGAACTGTGACCTCCTGGTTCACAGGTCGACACTCAACCACTGAGCCACACCACTAGGGCCCTGGTTGGCAATTTTAATACAGTTCACTTTGGTCTGCAATTTGCAAGAGAATACTGGCTGAGCGCCTCCCGGAGAGCAGCGCTCAAGGGTGGCAGGAAAGTGCCGAGGAAAGGATCCAAACTTAAGGATAAGTGAATGTGAATAAGAACTAATGTGAATAAGAACAAATTTTGAGAAACCACCGGAATTAAAATCTTGGACTCAATCACTCGAATGGAAAACAGAAGCCCCAAGCTGCCTCATAAAATAAACACAGGAGGGTCTGTTCACCCAAAGGAGATGGATTTTGCTTCTGTTCTGCAGATAATTAATCGAACGGGCCCCTGGAAATTCCTGACATCGTCCCCACCACGCCCGGAACAGGCAGTGTCACAAAGGAAGCCTGGGGCTGGCGACCAGATGAGCTCCTGGCTGACGCAGAACAATCCGAGCATCAGCCACACAGGGAAGTGGGGCGAAAGGGATCTATAGCAGCAAAGGGGGCGCCCACAGGCACCTTGATGAGAGGCCTTGGTTTGGGAGAAGAAAAGAAAAAAATGGAACAGAAGGGGAAACTTGAACATGGCATATTTGAATCTATTTTTGTGTTGTCAGTTCTGCCTTTCCTGCCTCTGTCTTTGTAGCTTAAAG